ATGGGCAGACAGTGATAGGACAATAGGAAATGGTTTTGAACTAAGAGAGGGGAGACTGAGGTCAGATATGAGGAGGAAATTTTTCACCCAGGGGGTGCCTAGAGAAGCTGCGGATGCCCAATCCCTGGAGGCATTCAAGGCCAGGTTGAATGTGGCCCTGGGCAGCCTGATGTAGTGGTTTCCAACCCTGTCCACAGCAGAGGGGTTGGAACTGGATGGTCTGTTAAGGTCCTTCCCAACCCACACCATCCTGTGAGTCTATGACGTGCATTCTCCAGCCTCCCCTCCACGCAGACTGGGGACTGAACAGCAGATAAGCTTGTGTTCCAGTCTGTAAAGGTGCTCTACAGAATCTAAAACTGGGAAAGAGAGCAGAGTTGAGATGATGGGCAGGTTCACAGCCAACTTTTCAAAGTAATTTTGAGCATAGACATGGTAACTGTTGTGCTTAATGGAGGTTTACTTAATAAAAATACTTAAAAGCTGTTTCTTTTTATTCTTACCTGGATATGGTTTTAATCCAAAACACTTGGGACCCACGCTTAGAAAGCTGAAAATGCTCATCCCCATTTTCTAGAGCAAAGGTAGCTAAAATATGACTCTTTAAGTCATGGTTCTTTAACAGCCTCCTGAAGTAAGTAAGTGATGACGGTGCAGGGCATCTTACTTGCATCAGGTTTTTATCCTTGTTTTGTCCTGGTGCTTTTGAAGTCATTTGACTGGAGCGTTGGCTCTGCGCAGCGAGGTGTGTGAGCAGAGTGTGCCTGGTTAGCTGCTGCTTTTCTGGGGTGTTTTAAATGATGCTTGGGATTTTAAAAGGTCTTGTTCTACATTATAAAGTCACATGAGGGCAAACTTCTGTGGCCAGCTGAGCTCAGCTCCCAAGTCTGATTTGAACCAGCTCTGTAGTGTTAAAATGACAAACGTAATCTATTAATGAGCGTGTCTGTCTGTCTACACAGTGAGCTGAAATGAAACAGGCTCCACAGTAACAGCTGGTAGGCAGCTTAAGAAGCTGCTGCTTGGAGCTGCTGGCTCCTCCTATCCTGAGGGGAAGCTTTGAGATTCTCCTAGTACTAAAGTTTCCGGGCTCGTGCTGGCCCACCTTCCTTGGATGCATTTAAGGTGAGAGTGTTTGCCCCGTCACTGCGCAGAAGGAGCTCTTCTCTGTCGCCTGTGCTGCTTTGCCTGCACGTGTTCTCAGGGTGGGTTGTGACAGCTGAACTGTGCTGGCACCCAACGAGACACAGACACTGAGAGCCCCCCTGCGCCCAGGGCATCGGGGAGAGCACTGGAGGGGTCCAGGTGAGGAGACTTGTAAGCTGACACGAGAACAATTTAATTATGAGAGTAAAATGAAATTAAAATAGTAGTAATAATAATAATAAGGATAAGGATAACAACTGTCTCTCTATGTGTGTATATATATCTGAGTGATGCACAGTACAGTTGCTCACCACCCACCCGGGGCAGCAAAAAGGAACCCTGAAACCAAAATCATGGAAAAGTGAGCCTGAGCAATTCCCGAGAGAATCCTCCCCCCTTTCTGCTCAGCCCTGGTTCACATACTGACCATGGTGTGATGTGATATAATCTCTTATTGGCACATCCAACTGTCAGCTCTGGGGTTTGGTAACTGCTACACTTTTCTCCACCTTCCCCCCAGAGCTCTGCACTTGCACACGACCCAAACACCACGTCCTTGTGCTTTATGGACACTCTGCTCATAACAGATCCCAACTGAAACCAAAACACAGAGAGAAAATTCAGTCTATCCTAGCAAAAACCAGGACAGGGGTGCATGGGTTTTCTGGGCAGATCAGAGGGGTAGAGAGCGCTGATGTGGTTGAGACACTGGTAAGAAGGTGTTATGGTGTCTGTAGAGTGTCCTGCATCTTTTCTCCAGAGGTTTGGAGTAAGTGTCTCTCTTTTCACAGATCTGGGAAGGGAGCAGGACGCGTGATGTGAAAAGGCAGAGAAATACCTCGCAGCTTTTGTGGCTGAGTTAGCCCCAGTGCACACCAAAACCACGTCTGTCACGTTGTGAAGCAGTCAGAACACACCCCGGGGCTGTTGGGTGGCTGTGGTTTGGATTTGTCTCTCACCAAGGGTAGAAGCTCTCAACAGGCACTACAGGTGCTTTTACACGTAGGTGAACAGAATTTGGGTGCTACTGTGTCACTCAAAGGCACGACCTGTTCAGCAGTTTCCTGTCAGTTCAGAGCTGCAGGGCAGACCCTGTGTCACTGGGTCCGTGTGCAGGACGTGTCTTTGAGGACCAGGGTCACGTCCCTGGGGTGATGTACCTTGCAAGGGGCACACTGGGTGCTGCCCTTGACTACTTGGGTTATAGTTGTTCTCCCCGAACATGTGCTTTCCCCCAAAGAGGCGAGGCAGCTAACGTTTGAATGTGAACATGGGTGTCCTCGGGTAGCCCATGCAGGGTGTCCTTGGTGAGCAGCTTCTTCCTGGGAGCAGCAGGTGGGAGCTACGTGGTCCTAAGCGAAGGGACTTGGTGACAAACAGCCAGATCATCGCCTGCTAGTGACTGCTCAGAGCTGGTGATGCTGCATCCCTTCTGTTCAGATGGGACCAGGCCTGTCTGTGGGTGTTCTCTGCACCTCAGATGTCCCTGGAGTGCTGATCTGCATCGGCTGATGAGCAGGAGGCAGCAAAACCAGCATGCTCTTTGGTGATGATGATAAGTTAACACAGATAGGCTACATGACATGGCCGTGATGAGTAGAGGAACTGCTGGGTGCAGAGGAAGACAGCGCTAAATCCAGGGATGTCGTCCCTCCATCTCTGGTCATTTTATTGCCAGTTGGGCACAGCCAGGGAAGCTGATTGTGTCTCTATGTGTTTAAATTGCTTCTGGCTTTGCTTTCCCAGTTGTATGTGACCTGCCTTTAGAAGCTGTTAACCTGTTGTGCTTGGGAGAGGATGGGAAACCTGGCAGGTGAGAGAGCCACCCCTTGGGTGTGCAGTGACGTTCTGTGCCAGGTTAGTGGAGCGAAGCGCAGGAACACTTGTTTTTCTCAGTAGCTGAAGCCAGAAGAGGAAGAAATCTGCCCCTCTGCAAGGGAAATGGATTTGCAGGTTCCCTTGTGTTCCGGGAGCGTGCAGAGAAGGTTCCCTTTCCTGCCGTGCGGCTCCTGTCGCTGTCAACACCCTGTTCGTAGCGCTGTGTCCGCGGCACGGACCTGCTGCTGAGAAATCCGTGGTGTTGGGAGAGCACCTGAGGTTTATGGGTGTGCAGTGAGGGGGGGATCCCGAGGGATCCCAGAGGAGGAGGAGAGCGGTGAGGAGTGGCTGTCAGCGCTGGCAGGAGAATTGTTCCAGCCTGCTGCTGCCTTGCCAGCGAAGGTGGCAGTGCCAGTGGCTCTGCGTGGCTGCGTGGGATGGAGAGCAATCTGTTGAGCAAGGGAGATGGTTGTCAGACTAAAACATGGCAGGAGGGACTCTGTGTGCAGGTGCGTCGTCGCAAGTCAGATGACTTCTGTCAGTAGTCATAGAATCACAGAATGGTCTGGATTGGAAGGGACCTTAAAGCTCATCCAGTCCCAACCCCCCTGCCAGCAGCAGGGACACCTTCCACTAGACCAGGTTGCTCAAAGCCTCATCCAACCTGGCCTTTAACACTTCCAGGGAGGAGCAGCCACAGCTTCTCTGGCCAACCTGGGACACTGTCTGACCATCCTCACAGTGAAGAACTTCTTCCTAATATCTAATCTAAACCTCCCCTCTTTCAGCTTAAACCCATTTCCCCTTGTCTTGTCATTAGTTGCCCTTATGAAAAGTCCTTCCCCAGCTTTCTTGTAGCCCCTTCAGGTACTGGGAGGCCGCTATAAGATCTCCCCGGAGCCTTCTCTTTTTCAGGCTGAACAGCCCCAACTCTCTCAGCCTGTCCTCACAGCAGAGCTACTCCAGCCCTTGCATCATCCTAGTGGCCTCCTCTGGACTTGTTCTAGCTGCTCCAGGTCTCTCTTGTGATGAGGGCTCCAGAACTGGACACAGCACTCCAGGTGGGGCCTTACAAGAGCGGAGCAGAGGGGCAGAATCCCCTCCCTCGACCTGCTGCCCACGCTGCTCTGGGTGCAGCCCAGGACACAGTTATTGGCCTCTGGGCTGCCAGCGCAAAGTCTAGGACGTTGTAGTTTTCCTGCCAGTGTCAGTATCAAGTAATACCCAGATTTACATGTGCTTCTGCAAATCCAGCTGTTCAAAAAACCGTAGTAGTCGCCTGGGTGGCGTGCGCTGTCCGCTGGGGTATTTCTGTCCTTGCAGCAGCTGGCAGGAGTATTGGCTAATCTGTGTTTGCACTGAGCTCTTGCTGACAGGCTGTGGGGTGGCCTGCGAGACTGAGGGGACAGCTGTGCTTCTGGAGGGAACAGCTTCCTTGTGTTGTGGAAGCGAATAGCGCTTGACTCGGGCAGTCAACTGAGCACTGCTGTAGTTCACGTAGCTGAGCTCTGTTGTTCTCACAGATGGAGAAATCTGAGAAAAACTGTATGTTTAAAAAAAACTCAGAAATACAGTTGTACTTCAGAGTAATGTCTGCCTGTGGCGCTAAGGAAGCTTACTGCAGTAGTGCTTTGTTTGGTCTGCACTTGAGAAATGTTTGGAAGAAGCAGAGGATCCATGGGTGAACCCCAGCGGTGATGGAAGCCGTGTATCCAAGTGCAAGTCATGAAGTTCCCACCCCTCCATTTCAGGGGAGGCTGGGAATTAACTTCTCGAGTTACTTCTCTGAATTTGTTGGTCGGTGCTGTGGTGCAATGAGATTTTAGTGACTTGGCTGCACAGTAGCAAACTCGCTTGTCTTTGTGCCCAGGGATTTTGTCGGACGCCCTTTGTCTCTGTGTACCTGGCTGACTGTTTTTCCAGGCGTCAGCTTGAGGTGCCGGCGTTAGATCGCGTTTCGGGTGCAAACATCTGCACCTGCTTACGGAGGAGCTTCCTACCTTTTAGTCCTAACTGTGTTTTTTCTTGCTAGGCTAAAGAAATCCTTACTAAAGAATCGAATGTGCAAGAGGTACGTTGCCCCGTCACCGTCTGTGGGGATGTCCACGGTCAGTTCCACGACCTTATGGAGCTCTTTAGAATCGGCGGGAAGTCGCCAGACACAAATTACCTGTTCATGGGAGACTACGTGGACAGAGGCTATTACTCGGTGGAAACGGTGACTCTCCTAGTGGCGTTAAAGGTACGGTTTGATGATTTTCCTTGGGCAGACTGTGGTTTGGGGGAGTTGGGGAAGAATTGCTCCTGCCATCGATGCTGCCCTTGTGTATATTAAAACACGTTAAGGGTCGTTAGTTCTGTACCAGAGCTGAATGCTTGACTACTGCTTGAAATACCCCGTTGCTGTTTGTTTCCGTAGCGATTCTTGTGTTCAGGAAGGGTTTTCTTTGTCTGTAGGTGCGTTACCCAGAACGCATTACCATCCTGAGGGGCAATCACGAAAGCAGGCAAATCACACAAGTGTACGGCTTCTACGACGAGTGCCTGCGGAAGTACGGCAACGCCAACGTCTGGAAGTATTTCACAGATCTGTTTGATTACCTTCCTCTTACAGCTCTAGTAGATGGCCAGGTAAGCCTTGCGTAAGGAACACGCTGCCTTTCGTGGAGTTCTACGGACTGGGTTGTCTGAGCTCTGCGTGAACAGCCTCAAACAAGCTTCCTCAAGTTGTGACACAGTTTTTTTAAAAGGCCATGTACTTACCATGGGTTTGGGGAAGAGTTTAGTGAGGTGTTAATCAGCTGGATGGTGGGGGAAGGATTTGGTTTCTGCTGCCAGAGGAATGGCAGGATGTTGCATGTATGGTTCATGGAAAATGATTGCTCAACAAGTGAGGGCCCTCTCGTCATCCGTTAGATGTGAGTCAAGTTGTGGCCGTGAGGCAAGACCTCCTTGAAACGGAAGGTGTGGTGTCCTTGCTGTTGCTCTGATCCCTGTGTGCAAGGTACAGCCTTCTGGTGTTGTTTCCTTTTGCACAATTTACATTTGGTTTCTCTGCTGCGAGGCTGAGACGGCTGTAATTGTGAAAGAACAGTAAGAGAGTTAAAACCAGCTGTTTTCTGAGACCAGTCTTCCTACAACAACGTGCGCTGAACAGATTGCTCTTCTTTCCGGAACAGATATTCTGTCTCCACGGTGGCCTCTCTCCATCCATAGATACACTGGATCACATCAGGGCTCTGGACCGCCTGCAGGAAGTTCCACACGAGGTAACGGGAAGGAAATGGCATCATAAACTGAGATATCTGTTGGTGGAAAATGCAAATGTAGCCTCATACTGAAATCCGTTTAAACAGCGAGACACGTGGTTGCACAGTGAATTATTGCCTGTCTGAGGGCTAGAGCAGATGAACATAGATTTGGCCAAAACACACACAGGTCAGTGGGCTTTGATGACAGCAGTCTGCAGAAGGAGGGCTGTGGGGTTTTCACAGCAGGTTTTGACAGAATCACGGGACTTTTTGACTGTCACACTGACTCAAAGAACAGTATTTGGCAGGGGAAAGTGTTTACTACCTTCAGCCTCGTCACAGCCTTGCTTGTGAACAGACAGCCACCATGTGAAGCCGTTTTGTGTCACCGTCCTTTCTCCCCTGGCAGTGCTTTTTTCTGTGGTGTTTCACCTCGTTCATCACTTTTTTGAGGGTCTGAGATCAGGTCTGAGGAAACCTCATCTCAGCTGCCAGGGTGGCAAATGGCTCTTCTGTGTTGGAGTGCCTGGGGCTTACAAATGGTCTAGAATGTTCCCTGATGAAAAGAACCGCTTGTCCTGCAACGTCTTTGGTATGACAGCAAGAACAATGCAGCAGGGGCTGCCCACATAAGCGGAATAACCTGAAATAACCTGCCCCAATAACCTGAAATAAGCCGTGTAAATTACGCCCAGAATCAGGGGGCTGCCTGGTGGGACATCTGCCTGTAGTTAGGTGTCATGGTTATAGTGTTGCTCTGAGGTTTTCCCAGTCCTGTACTGGGTATCTGCCTGCTGAAATCTGGCTGCCCTGAGGACCTCCACATGTAGTCAGCGTGATCCCAACCATGGAGCTTGGATGGGTGGGTAGGAGACAGCAGCAGGTTTGGATAAATACTGGAGTGTCTTTACTGCCCCTTGGTAGCGCAGGAAGAAAAGCCGCTGAGATTCATTTGTGACTGTTACAAGATGTACACCAGGATATTTTTGAATATGCCAAGTCCAACAAGAGACTGTTGAGGAGAGGAGATGAAATGAGTAACACCCTGCCAGAAGGGCTGCTGAAGGCTGAACATCAGTCTCTGGATCACTTGGTGCATGGCCTCTCGCAGGTCCTTTGCCTTTCTTGAATTGATGGCAGCTTGGGTGGCACTGGTGAACATGGTGCGTCCTTGGACAGGCGTGCCTTCTCCCGCGGCCTTTTGTGTTACCCTCTGAGAGCCAGGAGCAAGGTCTGCTCTCCGTGTCTCTGTGCCTCTGGCTAGTTGAAGTGAAATGGTAGAGGGTGCTTGTGGAAGGGGAGGTGGGAACAGCTTTCTGGATACACGGGCTCCTTTCTTGGTTGGCTGTGTGCATGTCCTTGGGAAGGATGCTGGCTGATGCAGCGAGTAACCAGCTCGTATGATGGGTGCTGAATGAACTCGAGTGCCTTGTGCAGAGAAGGACACACTGGCAGTCTTTTTGCTGTAAATAAAAGGTGTTTTCTCATGTGGCTTTTATAACGGTCTTGCTAGTGATCTAATGAAGAACTCTTCATCTTTTTCCAGGGGCCTATGTGTGATCTGTTATGGTCGGATCCAGATGATCGTGGCGGCTGGGGCATATCTCCACGTGGCGCCGGCTACACGTTTGGGCAAGATATTTCTGAGACATTTAACCACGCCAATGGTCTCACGCTGGTCTCCCGTGCTCACCAACTCGTCATGGAGGTAGGGCAAGCACTCTGCTAGGTGGGGCTCACAAAACATAGGTGCCAATTCTTGTCTCCTCTGTGACACCTTCGGCTGGTGGGTTTGTGGAAGCCGATGCCTAAATGTGACACAGGTAAATACCAAAGAGGGACTTGAATCATGTGAAAATAAGAAGCAACATAAAATGATGTGCTTTGGCCTGACAGGTCAGTAAAGGGATGTTCTGCCCTTCTCCCCCCGGAGCAGTTGGCCAAAGGGACCCTGTCACTCCTCACTTGTGGCAGTAACCCTCTCCTTACGTGCTGACTGCTCTGTTTAGCAGAGTGCCGCTGCATTAGGCGGGCTGTCCTGTCATGCTCAGCACTCGGATGTGACAGGGATTAAGCCATAATTTTTGGCTGTCGATAGGCTATTCTTGCCTGTCTTGCTGGAGAAATGCCAGGTGGGTCAATGGAGCAGATGTATTTTTAAAATCTAGTCCAAGTAGATCCCTTAAGCAGTTCTCTGTGTCAGAAGTCGCTTGCATCCAGCAGGCAGCTTGTCGTTTGTGGTGGATGAAAGCTGAAGGCACACCTAGAAATGGCAAGGTTTCTGTGTGGTGCAGTCTGTAGTTTGTGTACAGTGATAGGCCAACACACGAATGGCAAGTGGCCCGTCTCTCTGTAGGGTGCTTGAAGCTGTTGGTGCTGGGTAATGACCGCCTGTTCTTGCGGTAGGGTACTTTTAAAATGAAGCTAACTCAGTTGGAAATGCTTAGGAGAAGTCTATGGTTTCACAAACGCCTTGGGTTGTTTCAGGCCAGAAGAGGAACTTCAGACAGCCTGAGGTTTGAGGTTTGTTTAACAGACTTTTTTTTGTTGTTTTTTTCCTCTTTTTCTGGCAGGGTTATAATTGGTGCCACGACCGGAATGTGGTGACCATTTTCAGTGCACCCAATTACTGTTACCGTTGTGGGAACCAGGCTGCTATCATGGAACTAGATGACACTTTAAAATATTCCTTGTGAGTAACCTGGCTTGGGGTCTTCTCTTTTCCTAACCGTTCTGTAGTGTGAGGAACGTCTGGCCCTTTCCAGAGGGGTTCTGTCATGAAAAGCCAGCTCAGACCACTCTAGAATTAACGTTGTGTCCTCTGTCTGCAAGAATATCTAAAAATAAGTAGTCAGATAAGCTCTTAAAAGCTTCTCTTGGATACTGCGTTATCTCCTCTTCCTGGCTCTCTGAAGAGTTGGAGCTTCTGCATTTTGTTAATCCCTCTGTGGCCCAGGTTTACTGGAGGGGGTAAGGATAGGTTGATTTATGTATGCATTTTTATTTTTGGCAGCACTAGGCTTGGTAAAGTTGGTTGAGAGAGTCTGAATTTGGTGTTCAGCTGAGCTTGTGTCATCAGCTGAGCTTGTGTCAGAGTGGCTATGGGCTGCGGAAGGGCTGACTGCGGGGTGGTGTTGGCTCCCTAAGCAGCGTTTCAGCCAGCAGATGAGTTTTCACTGCTGTGGGTGCTGCTTGTTTTGGGACCTGGAAGGTTTTATGTAGAAGCAGCTGGGATGAGTAAAGCAATAGCAGCAGGAGAGCAAGTCCGGTATTTATTGTGGCGTGGGAAAATACCCTGTGGAGGTATTTGGGGAAATAATTTGGGTATTTGGGGAAAATGATGCCTTTTTCCGTTCCTGCAGCCTCCAGTTTGACCCAGCACCTCGTCGTGGAGAACCTCATGTTACCCGTCGTACCCCCGACTACTTCCTATAAACCTCTCCTCACCTTTGTGGGAGGAAGTCCACCTGGCATTTTGAAGAGCAACAATATTTACACGTTTCGGTAAGAAATCGGGGTTCGTCTCAACTTAAAATCCCCGCCGTGGACCAAAATGTGCCATACAGAGGACGAAGAGCATTTAGCACAACATGAGACTGAATTCCTGGCGACACGCTCGGTACCCCGCGCCCATCAGTCAGTTTGCCTGCTGTATTTGTAGTCATTGTTTTTCTTCTGGACTGGTCAGAGAGGAAAAGGTAACTGAGAACAACTTCCATCTCCTTTGAGGCTTCTTTGTAAATTTTTAATTCTAGTGTTTAATGGGCATGAATTAGAGTTTGTTTTGGAGGGAAACGCACACTAACCTCTTCCCACACCACTCTTTATTTGACGGAAAGACGGATCAACTGAACTGGAGCAAGGCAGCAGTTCCTGCTGGGGAGTACATTGTCATAGCCCGGGCGGAAGTGTTCCCTGGGGTTTCTGTTTTCCCTTTTTGGTTTTTTTTTCGTTGTTGTTTTCTTTCCTCCTTTCCCCTCTCGGTATGTGCTGGGGAAGTGCTTGTCCTGTCCTCCCCTCCCCTCCCTTCCCTGCCTCCTCGCTCTCCCTGAACCAATAAACTTGCCATTGTCAACCCCAGCCCGTCCTGCTCTGCCGGGGGGGGCGGCCGTGAGGGCGGAGGGGCGGTGGCTATGAGGGG